GCTACTACCAATGGTACTACTAATCGATATAATGATAGTACTATTGTGCCCTCTCTACTGCAACAGTTGGCCGATTTGCAACAAGAGGTTCGTCAACTCCGTGCTCAACCGACGTCTACCTTACATACTCCTGGTGTGGTTCAGTATGCAGAATTGGGTGGTACGATGGCTCAAATGTATCCGGCCGCTGCTTTAAGTTATGTCGAGAAGACTCGTCAAGAGGCACACACTCTGTCTAAGACCATCACTAAGTTTACTGGTTCCGAGAATATAATGGCAACGAAGCGTGAGATTGAGGAGGTCTGTGATGATCATGGCTGGAGAGGAGTCGGGTGGTATTATTTAACTCGATATTCGTTGGATCGGCCTATCTGGAATACCACAATCGATCTGATGAAGGAGAAGGATATCCAGTTTGATCGTGGCAGTGAAGAAGGTTATGCAAAGTATACTTCATCTATTCGGGAGACTCTCTGCCAAGTTTACTGTCATGCTGTTCTTCGTAAAAAGCTAAAGGCTAAGTGGAACGAGTTGCATCGTCGTACTAATGAGACATGTCGGCAATTTCTTCTACGAGTTCAACAATTACGTCGTGAGTTATCGGGTGCTGATATCTCCATAACTGATGAAGATGAGCTTTTTGCATGGTCTCGTGGCCTAGGTAGTGATGATCGGTATGGTGGTTGGATTGCTGGTGGAGCAATCATTTGGCTACAATCGGTCTATCCATCATCTTCGGGCACAGATTGCACTGCGAGCTGATGAGTGGGAATTGAGAAAGGGAGTCCCACTCAAAAATATTGCTGCAACTGATGAGTTGTCGACCGTGGCCAATGTTTCTTCTACTGTGGCTCCTGTCCCCGCTCTGATATTGGGAGCAACTGGTTTACAAAACCAAACCACTACTACCCCGTTCTCGCCTGAGAAGGATCAGGTACAGCGACCCAAGGTTCCTCATGCTCCGAAACCGAAAGATGGTACGAAACATCCTTCTTTGCAACATCGCTGTCAACGTTGTTATTCGGATGATCACCATACTGTGCATTGTGATCAAGAGCTTCCAAAAGATTTGGAGGAGCGCTGTCGGGGTTGTGGTTTGACTCATCCTAACTCTCCGGATTGGCTAGCCGATAAAAGCAAGTGTCCGTCGAGAAAGGTTTCGGTATCAATTTGCTTGAGGTGTAAGCAACCCGGGCATTTTGCTCGGATTTGCTTGGTAGCGCCTAAAGTTACTCCAACTATGTCGGCTTGTACTTTGTCGGTGTCTGCTGGAGTGTCGAATAGTATCCGACACTTGTCCCTTCGATTTGCTCGTGCTGATGGTAACTTTTCATCTGTCTCGGTGATGCTGGATTCTGGTGCTAGTGAATCGTTTTGCTCTGAAGAGGCGTATACTCAATTACATCATGATGGTGTTCTTGAGCAGTGTACACCCCCATCGGAACAGACTTGGGTTCAGTTTGGTAATGGAGACGTCTTAGAGTTGATCGGTAGATGTTCTACGGTAACTGCTATCTCAAGTGACGACTCTTGTATACCTGTGCAATGGTTTGTGGTTCGTAGACTTTCTCCTCATCCTTTTGTCCTGTCATTGAAGGCTTTACGTGCGACAGGAGCAGTGTGGGTAATATCAGAGGCCGGGGACAAGCTTTATGTCGGCTCTGATTTGGTGAAAGAACCGTTGCCATCCCGTGTCTATTCGTCTGCCTTTACTTGTGGATCCGTGCTCTGTCATGGACGTACCACGGATGTAGTACCTCGCCAATTAGCTTTGGAAGTTCTTGGTGAGCGCACCTTTGATGAGCAGTCTCTTAGTGGTTCGGAGGATGAAGTTGATATGAGTTGTGATGAGCCTTCGCAAAGACTTGATGTTTTGGATGGCCCTCTTTCAACTCCGAACCCCATATCTGTTTGGATTGGTCAAGCAGATAAGGATGCTCCTCGGGGACGTATACATATCAAAATTCCGTGGTTGTGTTCTAACCGTCCACCAAGAGACTATGGTAAAGCTTATCACCGTGAAAAAGCTCTGCTTCAACGCCTTGATCGTGAACCTTGGAAGAGAAAGCTGTACGATGAGCAAGTTGAATCTTTGATAAGGAATGGGTTTGTTGAGCCTATTCCTTCGCCTGGTGTAGCCGTTTCAGAACAAGCCCATGGTTTACACTTCATTCCTCTACGCCCAGTGTTTTCAACAACGTCATCTACTACTCGATGCCGGTTATGTTTGGATGCGCGAACTCTTAATAGATTCACATCCCGAGGGCGATCGGATTCTATGATGATGTTGAAGGCTTTGTTGGGCTGGCGGTCTTATGAATGGGTTGGTACCTTTGATCTTCAACAAGCTTTTTGGCGCTTGAAGGTTGACGAACCTAGTTCGTCATGGTTGTGTGTTATTCTACATCAGAAGGCTTGGCGTTATCGGTATCTCCCATTCGGAGCTAACTTTGCGAGTGCTGGACTTAATGAAGGTTTGGAGGTTGTTGGTATCGAGTTACCATCTCTCCTACGTTCAGCTATGTTAACTGGCCCATCAACAAATGTTGTCACGGATGCATTGATGAGACAACCCGATGTTGATGCACGTTCACCTCAGCCACCTGCTCCTAAGTACTTACACTTTGCTTTTTATGTCGATGACGGCCAAGGACGTGAACGGCGTGATCCTCGGCATGGCCAACTCCAACTCAATTGGTTAAGATGGGGTCTTGCTCAGTACGGTTTCAATTCCCTTGGTATAAAGGCGTCCTCTAATTTTAGAGTAGCACTTGAGACGCTGTTATCTGCTTGGGAAGGTACACATGGTCGTGCGACCAAGGCACGAGCTAAGCTTATGAATCCATCTGATGATGATGTTTGGGTACGTGTCTTGGGTTATTCTTGGGACGTTGAATGTGATGCAGTTACGGTCACATTCCCTCCTTTAATGGAAGATGAAGTCAGTATTGAGAAGTCTTGTGGAGTATTGACGAGACGACAGGTTGCTTCCATTCTACAACGCTGATTTGATCCCTTGGGCCTGTTTAATGAGATAGCCATCATGGCAAGGGGGATAACCAGATTGGCTGCTCAAGAGACAGCGGAATGGGAGGCTTCTGTTGGTTGTGATGTTACACTCAAGGTTTGGCAATGGGTTCATTTTGTACGATCGTCTAAGTTCGTATCGTCAAGACTCATCGACCTCTCTAAGGTGTATGTGTTCTGTGATGCCTCGTTCCATGGCTGGTCGTGTGTCATTCTTGACGCTCGTTTGAGTGTTGTATTCGGTAGATGTGGATTGTTCCCTCCTCGTTCGGGACTCACTATACCGAGGAAAGAGCTGGAGGCTTTCTATCAAGGCATCCTCACTCTTAAGAAGATTTGTCCTGCCCTTCCCCATAACGACCCTTCTCAGGCTCATGAGTTTTCTCCGATGAAGCTTGTCTCCTTCTTCGCCGACTCTGCAATACTCATCTACAGACTTCGTGGTCGTCAACGTTCTGGAGAAGACAAGTTATCAGTGGCGGAATGCAGACGAGTTCAAGCTTCGAGAGGTGCCTTATTACGATGGGGTGCCACGGCTCATCATATCCCAGGATCGCTCAACGTTGCAGATGGTCCTTCTCGACCTTATTCGTCCTTTGATACTCTTAAGAACAAGGACGAGGGTTTGGCGGATTTGCGCTATTGGTTGAAGGACGTTGAGGACTTGGGCTCCCAATTTACTCTTACCTTTGACCCGATCGAAGCCAGCAATATTGTACCTGATATTATGATGGCTCATTTTACTAAGGACCCTTCGTGTCAAATGGCATCTGTTGACACCGTTGATGTTGAAGCTATCCGTGATCAAATAAGTCAACTTCAACAAAATGATCCATGGTGTCAAGACCTTATACCGCGACTGAAGGCAACTTCTCCCCCTCCTTGGACCAGATATTATGCGCTAAGTGATGACGACATACTTCTCCGTGTGACATCTGCTTCTTCTCAATTGGTGGTGCCTTCAACCGGTGTGGCAACTATCTCGCATACCCAACTTGCCAAGATTGTACGATAATTCGAGCACTCGTTTTCGTTTCCCCTCTTATGGATCAGCGTAACTTTCGTGATCTCTCATTGTTCTGGTAGTCTCTCGGCTTCAAACCAAGCTTGACATACCCTCTGTATGCTCTTTGCTATTCCGACTCCGATCTTGAAAACTTCTGCCGGTAAACCATCCGCGCCACTACTGACTAATGATTAGTCACTAATCCAGCATGCTGGTCTTATCGCCGAGGCAAGGTTGTATGTTTGCTCGTTACGCTTCGCTAATCCTACATCAGAACACCTCATTCTGACGAGGCTCGTTGTCATTGCTAGCAAAGCGTAGGCGAAACATGTTGTCGACACTGCTTCAATTTTCTTCAGCAGCGCTGATCGGGCTGGCCGATCAATTTTGCGTTTAATTCCACCCACCGACTGTGCGTTTACCGAGTGAGCTAAGCTCACTGAGCTTCAATCCAACATTTCCAATTCAAGCTGAATCATTGACAATAGTTTTTTTGTTGAATTAGTCAACAAATCTTGGCATAATATGATGTTTCCTACTATGGGCCGTAGTCTATGCTGTTGCTGCTGCCTTCAGCTACTACAGTCTGCATGTTCTTCACAGTATAAGAGTCAGATCCCACTCGCTTGCAGATCATTCATTCTAGAAACTATTCCAGATCGATCTAAAGTCAGAACTTGTGACTCAGAAGACCCGCGGAAGAATCTCCAGTGGCGATCACAGTGTAGCGTCACTGAACACGGTATAAGTTGGCGATAAACCTCTCCGACTGATGCTTCACCTACCGAAAAGCCTAACGCGCGTTTCTTCTGTTACAGCTCGAGCACTTCCAATTTGGAAGTTCCAGAGGCGTTATGGCGAACGCGATTGACATGCACGCAAATAGTCTTCCAACTACTTCACGAGACGTATCGAACAAGAAGTGGGAGCCTCCCACTACCATTGGCTGGGGTTTTTGCTGTCGATAAACATAACCTACCTGCTGGATTGTTTGCTATGGACCTAATCGCACTTGAAAAAGAGGGAACGACTCGTGGCATGCTCATGGCCTTCCAATCGCGCGACTCCTTTCAAAGCGGGCTCGAAGTGATCAGATGGCGCACCCTGTTCAGCATGGAAGCCGATCCGCTGGGCACTGATGTCCTGCGATTGTCACAGCGTAACCTGGATCGTGATGAAATAACCATTCACGAGTGGACTAAGAAGTTGTGTGGTGCTCTCGACCCGACCACGATGAATGGGATTGCCAATGTCGAGATTCACCCGAGGACTACTTCGAATGGACCTAACCCATTTTCTGTTGACGACTTCAATGTGGACAGTTATGAAGTTATGCACGACAATACTGTATCTCTCAGTTATCAATTGAGGGCTTTGTCTAGAGCTAAATTAGGATTGGAAGTTAGATGTGCGGAGGTCCTCAGACATCGCCGACTCCCTTTTGGCGATAACCGCTCAATCCTACGTCGGGTGTTCTACTGGACTGTCGATTTCAATCGTGAGTCATCTGTGTAGTCCCAATGTATGACTCTTTTTCGGTTACCCTTCATGTGTTCATATTTATTCAAGACTTGATCCTGTTAGCAACGAAGCAGCGGTTTAATCACGGATCATTCAAGGCAAATTTGCGAACACCATCCCGAAAGGCATCCCCGCAAACAGGAATTATTCTATTTGTTATAGTCCGGATTTGATACTTTCGTGTTGAACATTTAAAATATGTTGTGTGCGATTGCGAACCTTTTTAAGACGATGATTACGTTCCAAGTAATCAGGATTATTAACAGTGGAAATTTCGGAAATTTATCCTTTCGTTAGTCAGAAATGATCTTATGTTAGCTAGCCTCGCCTTCAATTCATGATATAAAATCCATAATATTATTATGAATCGTCAAAAACGCGAAATTGAGGGCCTGTTTCATAGGAGCAAATTGCGCCTTAAACTTAAGTAACTCCTCAAGTTGCTCCTAAATTTAAGGCGCCTAAATTAAGTATCCTTGTGAAACAGGCCCAGACTCTGGGCCCCAGAGTTGTTTGTTCCCGCCGGGAAGGTAATCATGCGATCTGATCTGGCCCGGAAACTTCCTGTACCTGAACTCATTATGTAGTCAGCGACGCTCACATCTTAAAGATGTCACCTTTCACGACGGGTTATATCATATCATACAGGAAAGTGGACTGCGAACCTGCGAAGGGTCTGTCGTCCGAATGACGACAGCGTTCTGAGGTCAATCTATCTCTGCCCAGATTTCAAATGATTCACCCACTCCTGCTAGAAGAAGATGAACCCTTGTCAGCTTTTCACCCCCCACTCAGCCATAATAAAAATTGCAGAATAATCCACAATATTTCATGTGTGTCTAGCTCCCATATCTATTGGGAAAGGGTCAGAGAAACCTTCCTGAGTTTGAACCTGTACAACAGTATTACGGTGTAGTGATTCGATAGCTGAAATTAGCTTCTCATCACATCCGGCTAGCCTGAGAGCGCTCCAGATCGCAGGAGTCCTGCGATACTTCCGACGAGGTACTTTATCGAAGGCTGCTTTCAAATCTAGATAGACAGCAGACAATCTGCGATCATTCTGGTTGCAGACTTCCTGGCATCGACGTAGTATGTGTACCGCGTCTAGAATGCCCTTCGCTGAGTAAATGAAAATTTTAAAAGCTTGTAAAGTTTTCTTTAAGCTTGTAAAGAACTCCTGGGGAGCTACATGGGGCGACGAAGGTTACATCAAGATGGCCATTGACGATTCACCCAAGGGTGAGTCCACACCTCCGACGGAGTTCAAAGTTCTCTCCCCCGTAACCAGATGCTATTTTCAGCCTGAAAATTTCAGGTATCTGCGGCATTTTGCTCGCTGCGAGTTATCCCATTGCAGCTTGAATGATCCACTAGCCATCTGCTGCGCCTAGCCCAGTGAGGTATTCAGAGCGCCCGTTCGTCAGCAGCTTTCCGAAGTTCTCGTGATGGCTTATCACTTACAAGAGGAAGCACCCAATAGATATTCCTCGTGAATCAAGCGCCCTCCTTATTATTTCGTTAGGTCTCAAGTAGCTGTGCTTGAAGTTGTTTTTTTGTTATTTGAGAGTTATGACTGAAGAAACTTCGCGATACTTCAGTCTATACTTTCAGATCCTCAGCTCAGCCTGAATTTTAGATGTGTTCGCTGTGGGAGATTCGGGATGCTTCATAGTCCGCACGCGCGCACATAGTCCGTGACGCGTTCCTTTTTTTTCTCACTTGTTGACGCGTACATCATGACAGATAGTTGATTTCTTGGCAGCAAATAGCTGCAAGTAGGATAAATGGTGATATCCAGAATTTCTCTATTTCATTGAGTCCATCATGGCATCGAGTTCTGCAGTCGTAGGAGCACAAATTCCAACACTCGCCATAACCAACACTCTCCAAACAACCCGCCGGAGATTGTGTTCATCGCACGCGAGGTTACGGTTGGCCGCCAACCGTTGGCGTGGTCCATCCAGTTCAGTGAACTGGGCTCACTGACTTTTTCTCTACTCGATTATATCAGACACGCTCGCTACGCGATGATCCGGATTAGTGATTGAATCTTGAAAAATTATTGATCCAATCTGGCACAAATGCACCATACAAAAACAGTATGCTGCGGAAGCAACCAACTCCATCTGAGATTCTTGTGGTTATATTACCTGATCTATGATGTCGAGGAATATAGGATAGAGAAACTTAGTTGATCAATGACACGAGGCCTCACAGAATCGTCACGCCAATATTTAGTTTCTGTCAAGCCATCACTTGCGCGCTACCATAACAGGTAACACAGAAGAGTTGATGCCTTGACATGATTCTCGAACCTTCACCGTTGCTCCAATGTACTACGCTGTATCTTCATAGTTAGGCGACTCATGGTGAAGGGGCAGCTGGGTCACCCAGCCTGGGGGGGGGTGAGAATTATAGGCATTTTTAGAAGTCCACATCTCCCACTAAGACGGTAATATCTTCGAGGACTGAGTGATCTCGGGTGTGAGTAGCGATGCATGGCTACAGGACTACTTTGACGCCAACCCGGATCCTGCCTGACCAGGAGCCCGTTCAAGTGCTCAACCGTTCCGAGTTCCGAGTCTTAGTAACTAGCTCCGAGTTCCGAGTTCGAGTCCCCCGAATCCGAGTCCTCCGAATCCGAGTACATCTCTGTTCAAGTGCAACAGCTCGGAAAGGAGGGTATTCCGGAATGATTGGCCGAGTACTCGGCCCGTGTTACTACTCACAGTGTTTAAGTGCATTTTCTTTTTCCCAGAAAGTGCTCGGAACGTCATCCCTCACTAGGTCCTAGTGACTAGGAAAACTGCCCTTCACTAGTTGATTTGCCGGGAAGCCAACTCAAGGCCTAGTTTCGCTCAACCTGTTACAAATAAGTCATTCGCAATAGAACACGCAAAATTTACCCCGACGAGGGGCTGGAATCACCTACATCAGAGTCAACATCTTCTGCTTGCTCGGCCCTGTGTACGATCAGGAAGCTGCATATTTCTTTCCTTTGTGAGGAGTACTCGTCATTATGAGCAGTATTCGGTACTCTACGCATTTCTTCCGAGACAAATGCAATGGGGTAGACTTATTCTTGACTAAGCAAGGACACTGCGCTCAAGCTGGGGTTGAACCCCAGCCTGATGTCGTGAGACATATCGCGATAACAATAAGCCAACTCCTTCGATACATAGCGTGTATTACACGCATGCACATAGGGCGGCGCACAACATCGTAGGTTCACCTAGTACTTTGTAAGAGCTCAGGGATACGCATATGCGAGTTGTACCCAGTACTCTGATCACCCGAGCACATAGCTGAGGCCCCAATGCATCGTGCACTGGGAGGACAGTGGCGATGGGAGGTACATCCATTACAGTCATTTGTGCAACTCAAATGCTGGCCTTTCAACTACTCCTCGCAGTTGTAACTGCCAAGTACGACGGATCTCAGGTGAAGAACATGCTCGAAGCCTACAAGGAGAAGTAAGGGGTCACCTCACTGGCCGGTTATCGCATATACGAAAGTATTTTCGTGTGGCCAGATTTGGACACAACTTCGGTGCACAAAACGATTCCCGTATGAAGATTTTTGCAGATAACCTCCGCTACATAGAAGAGGAGAATGCCAAAGGTGGGATCATCTGACTAATTCTTGGCTAAGGAAGGACACTGCGCTCAAGTTGGAGTTGAACCCCAGCCTGATGTCGTGAGACATATCGCGATAACCATAAGCCAACTCCTTCGATACATAGCGTGTATTACACGCATGTACATAGAACGGCGCACAACATCGTAGGTTCACCTAGTACTTTGTAAGAGCTCAGAGATACGCATATGCGAGTTGAGGAAGCCACGGGGTACTCCGTAGTACCTAGTACTCCGAGCACCCGAACACATAGCTGAGGCCCCGATGCATCATGCACTGGGAGGACAGTGGCGATGGGAGGTACATCCATTACAGTTAAAATCATTTGTGTAACTCAAATGTTGGCCTTTCAACTACTCCTCGCAGTTGTAACTGCCGAGTACGGCGGATCTCAGGTGAAGGACATGTTCGAAGCCTACAAGGAGAAGTAAGGGTCACCTCACTGGCCGGTTATCACATATACGAAAGTATTTTCGTGTGGCCAGATTTGGACACAACTTCGGTGCACAAGACAATTCCCGTATGAAGATTTTTGCAGATAACCTCCGCTACATAGAAGAGGAGAATGCCAAAGGTGGGGTCATCTGGTTGAGGATACCTATTCAAGTTGACGTAAGAGTACCATCTGCAGGTCTGCCCTACAAGCTCAAGGTGACTCCATTCGCTCATCTCACCAATGCCGAGTTCAGAATGACCAGACTCGGGACAATGCCGAAGAGTAGAAGCTTCACGGGTAGCATCAATCATCGCAGCTATTCCTCTTTTACTGATCCTGAAGATCAGATCCTCATCTACTGCGCAACTCTTCCTTCAGGAAACGGAGCAAACACCGTTAGTTATGAGGGCTCCATTGAAGAGCTTCCCGCAGCTGTCAACTATGTTGCCAAAGGCTGGGTTACGGGTGTTAAAGATCAGGGCATTTGTGGAAGTTGCTGGGCCTTCTCAACTACTGGTGGGATACTTTTGCTGGCCCGCGCTGATAACTTTCGAGGTTATTGTCAACAGGTGCCCTTGAGGCTCTTCACAAGAATCTTACTGGGGAGCTCGTGCCACTCTCGGAGGAGCAGTTACTCGACTGCAGCCTGTCTTATAGGAATCAGTAAATACCTCTATTGTAGCCTACT